TCGCCACGGTAGCGCAGTCGGTCGAGAGTGCGGTGGCAAGCATTTCTCGGCTAGGCTTCCTACTCTGGTCCGGGTTCGATCCCCGGTGTCGGCACTGGCAATGTCGATGGATAATGGGTGTTTGTCCGCGTTTTTTCAAGTGTAGCCCCCTTCCGCACAAGCCTTTGGCTTTTGGATTTGGGGGTTGTCTCATTTCTGTGGTGTGTTTATGTTTATGTTAATCGGAGTAAATGTTATCATTATTGAGTGATTATGGTTGTCGTGCGTTGTCTTTGTTTATTCTAACCACTTTGGCAGCTTAGTAAATTATGACTTTAATACAATGATATTTAAATTAAAATTTAAGGTAAAAAATTACTCAATAATAGTTAAATTTACAGAAAAAGTCAACTCTTAATTGGTTTTACATACTCAAAACAGAATCAAAAGTCACTCGCTAGCTAGCAGAAACTAGGATTTGAGTAAAATTCACTCCCTTCTGTTGCAATAGTTTCACACATAAAATTTTAGTTGTACTCATACTAATAGAGTGAATATTTCACTCGGGTGTGGACAGAAATTGATATCATTGAGTAAAATTTAGTGAAATTGAATGAAATTGACTGATTTTTTTTCAGTGTATGATATTTTTCTTGTCTAATTTCAAATAGCCTGTACAACAAAAAAGTCTAACAACTTATGTACCAAATTATAGCACTTGCCCTATTCAATGGCAATACATTTTTTTATATAGTGTGATAAAATCATTTTTCAGCAGTCGCAGTTTTTATATACACTTGTTTTTTTTAATTTAACAGTTGTGTTGTACATGTATATTCATGTCACAATGATTTTTGCAGAGATATCGTTTATATTAACACCACATCTTTTAACTGCAGCAAAAGAGCAAATGTTTCTCATATATCAAATCATTCAAATTCATATTCATAATCCATATCGGTTTTTAACTTTGAATTCGAAAATTACTTGTACCACCTTGAAATCCTCGAAATTTTTTTTGTCAGAACTCTAGTTGAACCATATTTTTTTACGGTTTCTTTTCAAGTAAAATTAAACTATGATTACGCCTTTTGCAACATATTTTTAAACACGAACTGTAATTAACTTATGATTAAAGGTTAACTAACTTCCATACAACCAGGCCTAACTCAAGGTTATCGAAAGTTTATTTAAACTCCCCATCTTGTTCTATAAGTATAGAAATTTAAAACAAACCCCGTCCTTAATTAATGGATTCGCTTGCATTTTTTTGGCAACGAAGCACGCGCGAGGCAACGTAATATTATAAAAGTGTTAATTAGAACAGCAAGGACATGTAATAGTATGAGTAACAACTTTTGACCATACTAATTGGGTAATTATTGCAGCATAATAATTTTGCTTTATTTAATTAAGGAAACTGATTTAATTGCTATTGAAGCACTTACCTCAAAGGGTGCAAGTTTTAGAAACTAGAACTACCTTATTACTGTATTGTTTTTTATAATATAAGCAGAAAAACTTAACCTAGGGATAGTAGTGGATAAGGCATTCCATACACTTTTTGTTGATTTTAGTTATTCGTAATGTCTTGTTCACTGGATTTAATCCCACTTAATAAAACAATATTACTGTGGTTAAAGAAAAAGAAAAAACTTTAAACTGACATATTTAATTAATTACATATGCGTGCCATTTTAAGTAACTACAAATTATGAAGTTGTTATATAGAAGATTCAAGAGTGTAGTGCTGAAAAACAGAAACATAACTTCATAATTCTAGTTAAAAATAACGTGTATTAGAGGGACATTTCAATGGTTGTTCACCTGAAGGTTAAGGTACCAATAAACGTTATTTTAACGTTTACGTTCTCACTGGGATATGTTACAGTGATAATTAGATAGATACTGGTTTAATTACTATTATTGGTACCTATTGGTATACAGGGTGGTCCGAATTTTATGCAGGAAACTTCGAGGGCAGATAGATCTCTTTAAAATAATAGGTGTTTGCCTTATAAACATAGGTCTGGAACGGCCTCGTTTTAGAGATACAGGGTGTTGAAGTTGTTAAAAAAAATTCATTTTTTGTTTATATCTCCGGAATCTATTAACCGATCTGAATAAAATTTGGTACAGATAATGTATGA